GGGGGGGGGGGGGCTTTCACTGCATCAGTGGGCATGTAAAGACCTTTTTTTTTTCATCTGCAGCTTCTGATAACATTGTAGAAATGTTGCGGGGTCCTGGGAAGCGTTAATGAAGACAGGAGCAATAGGGTGTGGTTCTGACATGAAGATCTCATCTGTCTTCTCTGATCTCTCTGATGTAGGTTGATGAGGAATCTGAAGTAAAAGCAGACATAACTGGAATTCTAAAAGCCAGAAGTTACAGGATGTGAAGATTTTGCCATTATTGGATTTTTTTTTTTCCCTTCAAATCTCACAAAGAAAGGTACTGGACTCCCTTTTGGATATGTCATCTGTGTCTTTGTGGTCTCAAACCCAGGCAAAATGGTCTGTTGAATATAACACTGCCTTTTAAGAGCATTCAGAAAAATAATCTGTTTATTTAGAAGCAATTCTTTGTATTGAAAGCATATAAAAACATCAGCACGCGGTAGGCTCAACTGGTTGCCTAGTACGTAAAGTTCCATGGGAAAGGAGTTGTTCTTACGCAGTGTCTTACCTAGTTTGTGACCTGAATACCCGAGTAGCTGCTTCTTTCCATATATGATACTCTTAGCAGTTATGCAGGGGCATGCTTATAGTCTCTTACTGCAAGAAGAAAGGAGCTATTAGCACATGATTTTGGAGAGCATCTGTACTCCTAAAAAATAATTTCCATCATTTGGATTTTTCCAAGTTCTGGTGAATAATGTGGAATAGTCAGGAAAAAAATGTACAAGAAGATTAATCATGTCTGTACTGATTAATTTTTGGATTGGGAGTATTACACATTAATTTTACTTCCAATTCTGTTTTAAGTAACCGGGACTTGAGTTTGGCTGCTTTGCAATAGTTGGAGTAATTAAATGGACACTCAAGACTTCTGATAGAGGAAAATTCCAAACGTACAGATAAGGAAAGGAAAGCCCAGATTGTAAATTGCCCTTGGAATAAAACCTTTCCTAATGGAGGTCTTCTGTATGAAGGTCAGTTCAGCATCTTATGCCTAAGACCCTCTCTGAAATAAGAAAGGACTTTTTCCTGAATAAGGAAATCAGGATCTGTCTTTTCCCATTCAATGTTTTGTGTATTTAGTTATCATTTATATTTTAATGCCCTTTGATAAAGATAATTCAAATAAATTTAACTCCTGCATGCACTCTACCCTTGAATAACAAGGTCTTTATCTTCATTATAAAGAAACAGATTTCCAAAACTAACATAGGAAATGAATGATACTATAACCCTGAGGTGCCACTTGCTTCTGTTAAAGCTAGTCAGTCATTTGCCTTGAAAATAAGAAAATACAAAACAGTGAATAAAGCTCTGATATGTAGCTGCAGTTATTAGTCCATTACTGAAATTAGTATTAATCAAGCATGATACTTCTTGGTTTAGCTGTTGTCATCAATGATATTCAGGTCGAGGAAGACAGAAAAACATACATTTAAAAAAGTTGCCTCTTGTTTAGGCAATTCCCAGCAAAGAATGTCATACTTTTGGTGAGCACATTTGAAGTGGCAGCTGCTGACTCAATGTGGTGCATTAGTCACCTCCTGATCTTTATAGCACAGCATTATCTTTCCACCTTACACTTCCCTCTGCCTTACACACACCCATTCAAAAACATTTAATGGATTTCTAATATTTCTCAACATGGGTTATGCTCTGTAAGCCATCTAGAGTGTGATTTATTTTTCATAGGTTCCGAGTATTTCTGGCTTAAAGATTTTAGTTTCTTGTACATTAAATAAAATATTTAAGACCTGAATGAATTATTCCCTATACAAGATGAGCCATGGGGTTTCACACAGAGAACCCTGCAGCCAAGCAACTCACACACAGCAAAGTGGGCCTTGGTCTCTGGATCTGATCTCCCTCTCACTTTTTATATGCTGTAATAGCTTGGCTACATCCCGACTGCATACATGTACATTCAGTCCCATTCTTTGGCCTGCTCTAAATCCCTGCGTTTCCAGTCTGCGATTCCCCTTGAGTCCAGTCATTCATGCTGTCGTCTGATGCATAAATATTCATGCTTCTCCTGCCCCAGCAAAGCCAGCCCTTACCCTGCTCGGCTCCCACTCCGCTCACTCGCACTGGCTGCAACACTGTGCCTCTCACGTGGCTGCCAGCAAAGGGAAAACTCTGAGCCAGATCACCCAGGGTTCTCATCCTTCACCCCAGTTTTCCTTTCTGTCTTCCTAGAGTGACAATAGCTGAGCTAATGGAGACCCTTCCAAATTGGACACCCTTGTGATCTCCAGTGGAACAGTTTGGGAGTATTTCCTTAAATATGTGTGGGTATGAAATGGAATTATGGTGTATCCTCAGTATCTCTTAAGTCTTTTAAAAAAACCCCTTAACATTATGCTTTAAAAATTATGTACACACATACACACATGAATGGAGCCCTTCTGGTTAGTATTTTAGATAGATTTAAAAAATTATCATTACTGAAAAAAGTGGATGCTTCTTAGTGGTAGCTGGAAGCATGGAATACTGAACTCAAGCTTCATTTTCATTGGAAATTTTGTGGGCTTTTTTATAAAAAAAATATTTTAAAATACTTGTATTTATGACTGGATTGAAAAATCTAGAGAGAGGACAATTTTAAAGGGGGAGTAAGAGCGCTTAAACTCTTTGTTTTATGGCTGTTAGTGAAAATGTTCACAAAAATTGTAATTCAAAATGGAATTTTGATTCAGAGAACATTTTTGGAGCTAACTGCTTTGATAAGCAAATTTGGAAGGAGAGGTGAAATTAAAAATGTTGGTCCCATTTTCTTTTTCAGTGTTAAAATCTTTCTCACAGCACACAGGAGAGGCACTGATGTGTTCTGGTATTCCAGTATTAGAAAGCAGCTCTACTTTTAGTAATACAGAAAATACAATAAAAAGTATTTTGCTACATCGTAATAGAACATATATAACATAGGGGCAGAATACACTGTGGTCCTACAATACACTAACAACGTGGCACTTGAAGCAAGGAAAAGTATTTATTTGGAAATTTTCAAATATTTGTTTGGGTTTGGAATATACTCCCACTAAGAAATGTTGAGATTTCCCCATAAAGCAGACATTCTGAACTTCAACCTGGTTTGACTCTTCTGTGGCCGTGTCTCGCCTTTGATTTGCTCCCAAGCTACAGCTGGAATCAGCAGGACCTGACCAAAGCCCGTGCGCGGCTTTGTGCTGTAATTGTCTTACTCAGATGAGCAACACGTTTCTCCTAGTCCGCCAGTAGTATCAATATCCACGCTTCACTGTACCAGCAGACAAACATACTTGTTAAATCCTTATACAGAAACAGGAATGGGAGAAAAATGAACAAATTGGAAAGAAACACCATGAATGTAGCCATAAAAACAGAAAATAATTTGACAGGAAGGGAGCAAGGTGTACCTGGAAAAACATCGCTCTTGTCTCTGGTAGAGCTTTTTCTTACCTAAATCACACTGGAAATCTGGCTCTTCTGTGAGTCTGGCGTTTCTCAGATTTGAAGTATACTGTGGAAGGTAAGGCAGGAGTCATTCTCAGACATTTGTCTGGGAAAGAAGAAGAAACAGCTGCAGCAGCTTGTTACGGTTTTAGCAAATAGTGGGTCGATACAAGAAAATCATTGCTGGATCTCTTCGTGGTTACAACAGAGGAGTCTGCTAGTGGGCAAAGTCTTGACAGGGCAAAGAATAACATCTCTACCTTTGTATCTGTTTGGGATTTTTTAATATCTCTAATGCACCTCTTCTTTGGTAACAGTGTTAGCAGCCAGGGTAGTCTCTCCAAACCCTGCTCCTAATCTCGCTCTGCAATCTCTAACCTCACTCCGCAGCAAGCTGGATCTGGAGTTGCCAAAAGATGGCGATGGGGGTTCCGCCACTCCTCTTCCAACTCCTTCCGCTGGTTTTCCTGCACTGAGCCTGAACTCAGTGTGTGTCCATGGGAAAGTCAAAAACCCAAGTCATTTTGTGTCATTAATTACGTTAGAGCAGGGAAGAAGCGCACAGCGCTCGCGATCTGCTCGCTGAGGGTGTCTGGGCAGTTGGGACGCGCGGGGAAGCCCTCGGTCTGTCGCTGCCCGTTCGTACGTGGCTGCGGCTCCCACGGTCGGGCCCCAAGTCCCGTCTGAGCAGACGTTCCTCGGGCCGGCAGCTCCCGGGCACCTCGCAGGGCTGCGGGGAGCTGATCCCCGGGCCCGTGCGCTGGACCCTGTCAGCTCCTTCGGGAGCCCCAGGGGAGCCGGGGCCCAGGGCGAGTGTCCGCGGCCCACGGGGAGCCCGGCAGCGCTTCCCCCGCGGCACGCCACGCTGTGGGCGAGGGTGTTTTCAGCGGGCTTCAACGTGCGAGTTTAAGGAGGTGTTCGAGAGCGGCCGGTTTGAGGCACGGGCGCTGGCTGAGCACAGACGTGTCTGTAAAGTGAATTTCTCAGGGGGTGGTTTAGCTGCGGAAAGGTTTCGGCCACGCTCCCTTGAGCTGGGGTCCGGGAAACTCGGGCCGAAACGCAGGGCTGCGGGGAGCCGCGGCCTCCTCCCGGGCACCGGGAAGCTGAAGGCTGCTCCGCGGGGCAGGTGAAGCCCGTAAT